GACGTATGTATCCTGGGACACCCAATAAAGGGCGTGGTTGGTGGAGAGGTTGGACGTATGTATCCTGGGACACCCAATGAAGGGCGTGGTTGGTGGAGAGGTTGGATGTATGTATCCTGGGACAGCCTACTGAAGGGCGTGGTTGGTGGAGAGGTTGGACGTATGTATCCTGGGACACCCAATATTGGACGTATGTATCCCGGGACACCCAATAAAGGGCGTGATTTAGTGGCGGTGAGAGGTTGGACGTATGTATCCTGGGACACCCAATGAAGGGCGTGGTTGGTGGAGAGGTTGGACGTATGTATCCTGGGACACCCAACAGAAGGGCGTGGTTGGTGGAGAGGTTGGACGTATGTATCCTGGGACACCCAATGAAGGGCGTGGTTGGTGGAGAGGTTGGATGTATGTATCCTGGGACAGCCCAACTGAAGGGCGTGGTTGGTGGAGAGGTTGGATGTATGTATCCTGGGACACCCAATGAAGGGCGTGGTTGGTGGAGAGGTTGGATGTATGTATCCTGGGACACCCAATGAAAGGGCGTGGTTGGTGGAGAGGTTGGACGTATGTATCCTGGGACACCCAATGAAGGGCGTGGTTGGTGGAGAGGTTGGATGTATGTATCCTGGGACACCCAATGAAGGGCGTGGGTGGTGGTGGAGAGGTTGGATGTATGTATCCTGGGACACCCAATGAAGGGCGTGGTTGGTGGAGAGGTTGGACGTATGTATCCTGGGACACCCAATGAAGGGCGTGGTTGGTGGAGAGGTTGGATGTATGTATCCTGGGACACCCAATGAAGGGCGTGGTTGGTGGAGAGGTTGGACGTATGTATCCTGGGACACCCAATAAAGGGCGTGGTTGGTGGAGAGGTTGGATGTATGTATCCTGGGACACCCAATGAAGGGCGTGGTTGGTGGAGAGGTTGGATGTATGTATCCTGGGACAGCCTACTGAAGGGCGTGGTTGGTGGAGAGGTTGGACGTATGTATCCTTGGACACCCAATGAAAGAGGGCGTGGTTGGTGGAGAGGTTGGATGTATGTATCCTGGGACACCCAATAAAGGGCGTGGGTGGTGGAGAGGTTGGATGTATGTATCCTTGGGACACCCAATGAAGGGCGTGGATGGTGGAGAGGTTGGATGTATGTATCCTGGGACAGCCTATTGAAGGGCGTGGTTGGTGGAGAGGTTGGACGTATGTATCCTGGGACACCCAATGAAGGGCGTGGTTGGTGGAGAGGTTGGATGTATGTATCCTGGGACACCCAATAAAGGGCGTGGTTGGTGGAGAGGTTGTACGTATGTATCCTGGGACACCCAATGAAGGGCGTGGTTGGTGGAGAGGTTGGACGTATGTGTCCTGGGACACCCAATGAAGGGCGTGGTGGTGGAGAGGCTGGACGTATGTATCCTGGGACACCCAATGAAGGGCGTGGGTGGTGGAGAGGTTATACGTATGTATCCTGGGACACCTAATGAAGGGCGTGGGTGGTGGAGAGGTTGGACGTATGTAACCTGGTACAGCCAATGAAGGGCGTGGGTGGTGGAGAGGTTGGATGTATGTATCTGATAATTGTTGCCGGGAAAGAAAGTGGCGTCTGACTAAATGTCTCCCGTCATGACTTATGTAAGGGTATAACGTCAGTGCAATATATCATCCAGTCCTGACTATCATCAGAAACAGATTCCAGTTGGTCTCAAGGGCACACTAACTGTAACAAGTATTTGAATGACGGGCATCTGAAAAACCCAGATGACACCGGGTGTTCGCAAAAAGAGTACGCATACAGTGGCATACCGGTAACACCCGCCATAATTCGCCTACTTACAGCCTGACGCTGTAACTAACAGATGTGGAGAGAGAGGAGTGTGGTTTGTTGGTAGATGTATCCTGCAGCTGTCACAACCAGAGGCAGGCGAGGGTCGTAAATTGCTCTGGGAAATACGTTACTTGACGAAAGATATAAACACCCTCCACATCTATTTATTAATCAGGTAAATGTTCAGGAATATAGCTGAGAGCGGCGTATTTAACAAGCCCCGCAATTTGCAGATTCTGATACCTTTCGCTATGGACTTACAGATACGAATCATCAAAAAATGCAAATTCAACTTATAACGTTGAAAAATAACGTTATGAAAGAAAACGATTCACTAAATTCACCCCAGCTTGGGGTGAAAAGTGATTTCAACAGCCGTGCTGCGCTGCGTTGGGCTGCGCTCATAGCTCATGCGCAGTGAATAGGTTCGCGCAGCTTGGAAACGGGATGTCCTGGTAATAATATAATGTCTTTCTAAATGAATTGCAGCATGTGACACGTTAATAAACTATAATTTCTTCATTTTCTTCTTCCTATTATAAGGTCGTGAGCAGGAGTAGTCTTATCAAAACAAATAGTAAATAATATACTCGTTACATAAAAGAACCTTGTTAGGATCTAGATCTACTCAACTGTGTCAACCAGTGAGGCGTTCGACATTTCAAGACGGAAAACCTTCGCTGGCGGTGAGTACTGTGTGAAGGCTTTGATGTGAGCTATTTTTCTAATGTTTTGTTGATATTTCACAGGCGCGAGCTTTTTATGTGTTATGACAATAGATTACCGATTTATCTGTTTATATGAATTAATTTTGTCCATTTCACCACACGTTCTTCTTACCGAGTCACTTTCTCAGTTCGATACCTAAAAGCAATGTCATTATTTAGCATTGACAGAATTTCTAACTGTGATATAGATATGTCGTTGTCACAGACAAAACTCAATGTCTGTTTTATTGACACCTGTGTGTCTGTCTGTCTGTCTGTTAATGACAATATGCAATACACAACTTCGATCACTGACCACATGTAATTTGAACTTAACACCTATCAGGCTATACACCATAAACAAAACGCATTGATATATGGCTCGTGCCCCCGAGTTCGGTCTCTGTCACATTATGTAATTACACAGACAGGCAGGTGTGATACTTGTACACATGACATGTTATGATGTTTGATGATTGCAAAATGTTATACACAAAAAAATGAGCATGTATTTACAAAACCCAACATCTCTATATACACACACACAAGGAGCCGTGAGGGCATCGGCAAAGGAACCAGCCAATGAAAGTCTTCGTTACATGAGTGCACACCCACCCTCTCTGACTGTGTTCGGTATCCCGGGTGCTTCTTTTCGAGGGAAGTAAACCCAAGTACAAAATATTGCACTTTTGATTTGCGATTGTACGCTTATAATATTGTTTATAGTTTTTCATATACTATATGTCATTAATAAGTGATAATTGTGTTTTAATTATATTCGATTTTTGGGTTGCATGTGACTTTTAAATTACTTTGAATAAATACATGCATACTATATACCTTATGTGAATGTTTTGATCGAGCGTAAGGGTAGACCTGGGTAATGGTGTTTCTTCGGACAGTGTGCCAACTCTAGCTGAGGCTTCAGGTTGAAATGACAGGACTTGATAACTCCTTACCCTTGAGGCTATTCGTGGCCAGAGACAGACCAACAACAGATCGGCAACAAACAAGCAACAGAGATGTGAATGGATGTACGCAGTAACTTATCCACATGCGAGAATCCCACCGCCTTCAAAGTAACGGTTAAAGACTATTCAGTGCTGATATAACTGACTTTAAGTGGTCACGTTAAGAAGTTCGTGAATAATATAAGGACATACTTAATGGATAAACAACATATTGATTCGGGTTGCTTGCTTGACAACGATACAAGAATCTGTATCGAAACGTCGCATCACCCGAATAAAGATTGAAGTTGTTTCATCCATAAGGTTTGTCCTTGTCAAGAAAGATATACGTCGCATGTACTTAACGTACAACACACAACGTGATGTGTCTGAATGTGTGGAAAATTCGGTGTCGGATTATACCGAAACTAAAAATGCCACTGGAACATACTTTATTGAATCTTCGCCCAAGCCTACGTTTGTAAATAACCGATACTTTGTGAAACCTATTAATAGTTATTAATCCGGGCTTAGTTTCTATCACAGGAGAAACAATACCAAGTGTATGAGAGATCAATATTTCTTATAACTATTGGTTACTGAACAAACGTTGTGGAGACATGGTTTAGAAGGGACACACCCATCCGTGAATATTCTAAAATTACAATATATCTATATCTATCTCACTACAGTATCCTCAACAGGATCAGATCGTCACTAGTACTTGCTTTATGGCGGTGTACGGGACACTAACTACATACCGAGAAGCCAAAAAGGTACAGGTAGCTGAAACAAGGGAAATAACCCATGTCTGCAGACACTTCAAACACTCTGCCATGGTTCATCCGTCAGCTCGTCGGGCGATAGATCAATTCTTATTGCTGCTATATCAAGTTTGTTTTAAACATTTCACCGCGAAACGGAAAAAGCCCTGTCAATTATTATAATGTCCCATGAAGACGTTGCATGCATGTTGATATTTAACGCCACATTGCAGTAGTCAGTTTTCAGTTATAAGCTCAAATATATGGTCACTCAGTGTAGAGTTGTCGCAGAATGTAACCCGGTCAGACGGTGCGGTAAACTAGTTTCCTCTCCTGCTGAAGACGGTATAAGGTACCATATGTAACGACTAGCTCTGATATACCGGGTTAGAATAGGTCTTCAGCAACCCATGCTTGTCATAAGGGGCGACTAACGGGATCGGGTGGTCAGGCTCGCTGACTTGGCTGACTTGCTCATGGTGTTGATCTCTGGAGTGTCTGGTCCAGACTCAGCTATTTACATACCGCTGCAGTATAGCTGGAATATTGCTGAGTGCGGCATTAAACAATAAACAAACGAATAATGTTAGTACCAGTGAATGTGCTGAATCCTACTCCCGAGCTACTAACCCCGATCATACCCAAAAGTTTACAAAAACGACTGAGCCGCACATTCTGACGGTTCCCCAAAAACTACTGTGTGGCTAATCTCGCAACAGCTGTATTAGTTGAGAACATATAAGACAAGACACCTGTGTGTAATTTTTTTAATTTTATTAACTAAAGAATCAGACGAATTGCAGATATAATTTGTTGATTTAAGTTTTAAAAATACCAATTTTTGTTGTAACCGTTTACGTTATTATGTATATAAACTGCTCTTTTGGTACATCATTCAAACGATATTTTATAATACACCAAGGGCGTTGATGGTCTCTGAAGACAACCCTAGAATACATGCAATCCATGCGAAACAAATACTGACAAGAAACAACCTTGTCGTACCCCAACCCTTAAACACGGTGTTATCTGAAAATGTGTATTTTCGTCGTTACATAGACAGAGACACCGACGCCAACAACTAACAACACAACACATATCACAGTACACTGGTTGCAGGCAATGTATGAAAACCCCGACGAAGCCTTACATAGGGAAAACATTTGATATATACATTACTCAAGGTAGTGCAACATTCATCTTCTCAGTAGTCATTGCTGGTGACTGACTCAAGGCTCAATTTCACGACAAGAACATATGAGTTCATTTTACCAAACATGTTAGGCGTTTACTTTCCAAGGCGTTCTTTTCACACGGTTTATGTTTTTGACGACACAAAATACTAGTACAACTCATTCGAAGTATAGTATTAAATTGGTGACTACTATTTTTTAGAAAAAGGTGACGTAAGTAGGTGACTAGTTAGCCTTTGACTGTGGTGTTATTTGACGTTTGCATTGTTTTAAGAGACCCCGGGGTTTTACTTTTATACGTGTATAATGACCCTTATCTCATGGTTCTAAACAAAACTTTAAGTATAAACTTCGTACAGTGAAGGCATGTTTCCCATATCGTTTCCTTGCTACTTTAACACTTGTTGCTGACAAGAGTCGGGAGGTGCGGCAGGTGGGCGGTGGAGGTGGTGTCGCTGGTGTCGTCGCGGCAGACTGTGGTGTCTGTCCTGCGGTTGAGGATGGCCTTGACCACCAGGACGATGCAGAGGATGAGGAGCAGTAGAAGCGCCACCGACAGAGCCACGACTGTGGCGGTCATCTCCCAGGTCAAGTAGCAGGCCTTGTCCTCCTTGAACTTATTCAGAGCTGGAACAAACAAGTACATGAGTACTGCCCTTATGTGATAACATAGGACGGTATTTCATACGCTCGGCTACCGACATATATATGTTTACATATTTCCAAGTTTAGTATACGTACTTGCAGCGGCGGTAGCGAGACTGAGGGGATCGTTGATGTTGAATGATCTCTGCAGGACCTTCTCCGGGCTAGCTCCAGCTTCTCGCTTCCGTCTAGCAGATCCGCAAGTCAACTGACCAAATAAAACAGGAGGCCACACAGTAATAAACTAGCGACAACCTTTCCCCGAAGCACAAGAGAACTGGAAAGCAGAGTATATTGTACGATCTCATAGACACCTGCTCATAAATCCAATCAAACAGAAATGGTACAAGTTGTTTTCGAAAAGATGAGCTAACCTGATCTACCAGGATCCCCCATCACAAACAACACTATCATTAGTTAACACCACTCGTACTCCAAGTTTCTATCAATGAATTTGATGGTTTCATCTAATTGGGTCAGCAATGATAACAACTATATATAGTTTACAACAAAAAACAGTAAATGCAAACAAGAAGCTGTCGCACTCCTGAACTCACGGGATCACAGTCTGTAGCCACGATACATGGCTTGATGTCACAGGTCACAAAGATATCATTGGAGCCAGTAAACTTGAAGGCGTCGAAAGTGAACGTTTTACTAGTGGCGGTACCTGTGACATCTGTCAGCATGACGCTCTTCAAGTCTGGAGATGGGCAGCTGGAAACACAGATGGTACATACATCATTACCTTCCTATCTGTGTGTGTGTGTGTGGGGGGGGGGGGGCACTGTGTGATTTTGTGCGAAGCGTGTGTATGGAACGTGTGGATTAAAGTTGACTTGTAACAGGGGTATGCATTTGGATATTGTGAATAAAAGATACTTGAGAAAATAGCTTTCAAACCTGGTTGTAATGAAGTCTTTCGACTTATATCCTGCTGCGCTGGAAGCAGCTGCATTAGCGGCATAGCACCTCGTCAGTCGTAGAGCCTTGAACTCTGAAAATTACATACATTCTCTTCGTCACATCACAGCAGTACACTATAAACCTGAATCATCATGAACCGCTAACTCAAGTCAACATACAGCATAACAAAGACATACAAAGTCCCATCGCAAGCCCGGTATCAACTCATCAGTTTATCAATTCCGCCTTAGAAAAGGACATACAAAACCCTATCCACCGGAAATACTAACACCATACCCAATGCAAATACTATCACAAGACCCACCAGAAATACTAAAGCAATACCCAACCATCACTGGCCATTAAAGTTGAGTAGAAGTTTCATTCTTTCATCGCATCAGACAAACAATGAAACATCGCAACTAAATCAATGGTCCCAAGACACCCCGACTCAGACATCACAAGAACAAGATCCATGCTCCCAGGACACCCGACCTCAAACATCACAACAAGGTCCATGCTCCCAGGACACCCAACCTCAAACATCACAACAAGGTCCATGCTCCCAGGGCACCCAACCCCAAACATCACAACGAGGTCCCTGCTCCCAGGACACCCAACCTCAAACATCACAACAAGATCCATGCTCCCAGGACACCCGACCTCAAACATCACAACAAGCCCCATGCTCCCAAGACACCCAACACCAAACATCACAACGAGGTCCCTGCTCCCAGGACACCCAACCTCAAACATCACAAAACGATCCATGCTCCCAGGGCACCCAACTTCAAACATCACAAAACGATCCATGCTCCCAGGACACCCAACCTCAAACATCACAACAAGGTCCATGCTCCCAAGACACCCGACCTCAAACACCACAAAAAGATCCATGCTCCCAGGACACCCAACCCCAAACATCACAACGAGGTCCTTGCTCCCAGGACACCCAACCTCAAACATCACAACAAGGTCCCTGCTCCCAAGATACTCAACCTCAAACATCACAACAAGGTCCCTGCTCCCAGGATACTCAACCTCAAACTTCACAAGGTCCATGCTCCCAGGACACCCAACCCCAAACATCACAACGAGGTCCATGCTCCCAAGACACCTCACCTCACACATCACAACAAGATCCATCCTCCCAAGAAACCCAACCTTAAGCATCACACCAACAAGATCCATGCTCTCACGAAACCCCACCTCAAACATCCCAACAAGACACTGAGTGCTCATTAACATACTCTGTACATCCTTCATGAGGGATGACATGACACCTGGCAGACCTCAATATTACAAACACAGATCCATGGAATCATACGCCTTGACACTCAAATATAGACATGAAAATATACATACAAATCGCAAAACAGAACCAAAACTGGCAAAAAATAACAATGAACAGAAAACAGAAAACACAATCGGAAAACACGATGTTTAAGGATCAAGTCCATCCCTTAAGAAAACCCAAGCATGGGCAGGCACCCGACCCCCTTTTCTATAAACAGGAAAGCCGATGCACCCGTGGACCGTTCAACCAGATGTGCATTCAAGAGTTGAAAAACTATATAAGAAACATATTTGCACAAACGCGCAGCTATCTAATGAAAAAACAATAACCATTTAAACATTTTGAGATATAAAAGCTCCGAAGCAACCCCACTGACAGAATGAAGATCTTAAACTAGATACATGGAGAATATGATCCATGCTATGACATACACGATACGGAATGAGCATCGGCATGGTGCCCAGAAGTATCTCTAAGTAACATATGATATTAACAATAAGTAATGACCTTCTTAATCTGACGTCTTTTGGGAAGATGACACTAGAAGACAAGCTTACATCCGTGTTTGTCATTCATATACGTGGAACTGACCAGTGAACACATATTTTTGTTGAACTTACGGGATAGGTTTATCATGCACTTTTAACCATCAAATCATACCAGTCAGCACATATTGGATAAACAGGATATGTTCATTTTACTTCATTGTGAAACTTGGTTAAAAAATCGCACTTTATACATTGCTTATATCATTTAACTAAGACATAATATTGTCACACTCACCACATTGTAATATCACACATTTGTAGGATTTAACAGAACCTGCATGAGCAATAGGTGTTTTGGATACCAGTCTCTATATTTGTTAATCACGACGTTTTAGAATTAATTCTTACTCCTTCTTCATGTGAATGCAAGAACGCAAAGAACAAATCCTTTGTTCATCGCACCAAATTATCCGTGCCAAACGAACAAGCTTCCTTCACATATATGCTGAGTATAGGGGAAGATACAGCACTTGATTTCTGCTTCTGGATATTTACTTTTGGTTGGTTATGTCCGCCATGACATTGTCTGTCTCCAGGATCTCTGGTGACAAGGGCCGCTGGCATGTCCACCATCACATTGTATGTCTGTACGGTCTCTGGTGACAAGGCCCGCTGGAATGTCCACCATCACATTGTATCTCTGTACAGTCTCTGGTGACAAGGGCCGCTGGCATGTCCACCATCACATTGTATCTCTGTACGGTCTCTGGTGACAAGGGCCGCTGGAATGTCCATCATTACATTGTATGTCTGTACGGTCTCTGGTGACAAGGACCGCTGGAATGTCCGCCATCACATTGTCTGTCTGTACGGTCTCTGGTGACAAGGGTCGCTGGAATGTCCACCATCACATTGTCTGTCTGTTCGGTCGCTGATGACAAGGGCCGCTGGAATGTCCGCCATCACATTGTCTGTTCGTACGGTTTTCTAGTGACAAGGGCCGCTGGAATGTCCGCCATCACATTGTCTGTCTGTACGGTCTCTGGTGACAAGGGCCGCTGGAATGTCCACCATCACATTGTCCGTCTGTACGTTCTCTGGTGACAAGGGCCACTGGAATGTCCATCATTACATTGTATGTCTGTACGGTCTCTGGTGACAAGGACCGCTGGAATGTCCGCCATCACATTGTCTGTCTGTACGGTCTCTGGTGACAAGGGTCGCTGGAATGTCCACCATCACATTGTCTGTCTGTTCGGTCGCTGATGACAAGGGCCGCTGGAATGTCCGCCATCACATTGTCTGTTCGTACGGTTTTCTAGTGACAAGGGCCGCTGGAATGTCCGCCATCACATTGTCTGTCTGTACGGTCTCTGGTGACAAGGGCCGCTGGAATGTCCACCATCACATTGTCCGTCTGTACGTTCTCTGGTGACAAGGGCCGCTGGAATGTCCACCATCACATTGTCCGTCTGTACGTTCTCTGGTGACAAGGGCCGCTGGAATGTCCACCATCACATTGTCTGTCTGTACGGTGTCTGGTGACAGGGGTCGGTTGTGCGTCTAATGTACCACTGTTTTCAGCAGTGTGATCAGGATCTGGTCTTCTTCACTATCATGTGCCATCCTACTATTCATGAACGTGAACATCACCACACACACACACACACACCGCACACACACCGCACACACACCACACACACACACACACACACACCCGCACACCACACACATACACACACACCGCACACCACCACACACACACACCGCACCACACACACACACACACACACACACACACACACACACACACACACACACACACACACACACACACACGCCTGACACAACGTGTAGGGAGAGGCAGCTCACTTACTGGCGGTGCCGGCAACTGTCAGGGAGGCCGTTAAAACGATGTCTGCGCCAAGGTCAAGAGTCGCACCGCTGGCGGTACTCCCACCAGACTCCAAGATCAGATCGACGTCAGCGTCCACGGGAACGTTACTGACATCCTTCGTACCTAGGTTGCTGTCAACAGAGGTCAAAATCATCATTATCATCAATGCCATCATCATTAAGCCATGATAAGCGTACATGTATACCCCACATCCCCACCCATGACCCTTTTACAGTGATCAGTCACTCTAGTAAAATATATATTTGTACCGTAAACACCCGTTACTTCGACCACATCCTGTAGTAAAACATATTACATACAGTGAAGACCCGCCCATGTATGCTTCCAACCCCTGTAGTTATATGTAAGTGTATATGCTGAAGACCCGTTTTTTGGCCGGCCCCTGAAACTAAGTGTATGTTTGCAGAGTACAGATGCTTTCATATATATAGGGTGAGGTAGACATAGCAACCTTTCCACATTCTGGATGGTGATCGCTCCTGAGGTCTGCGCTACCACATCACTGGTGCCACAGGTGAAAGTGATCAGCTCATCATTGGTTGTTAGAGTGTCCGTTCCGAACTGGATGATGACTTCTTGGACATTATTCGTCCCCTTTCAAAGAAAAGTTTCACTTCAAGAATGGTATCCTGTTTTTAACAACCACGGGGACAGTACAATGATCCACGTGATTTTCTTCACAACAGATGTGACAGGCATATGCATTTCTCAACACAACCATATGAGATTATCAAATATCAACAAATATATTCAAGAATGCCCATGAAAGTCCATAATATTTAGCAAGACCTTCCTCCAACACTAAGCTGGTTTAGATGTGAGACATGCTTCACCTAGAGCCTTCCTCCAACACTAAGCTGGTTTAGGTGTGAGACATGCTTCACTTAGGGCCTTCCTCCAACACTAAGCTGGTTTAGGTGTGAGGCATGCTTCACTTAGAGCTTTCCTCCAACACTAAGCTGGTTTAGGTGTGAGACATGCTTCACTTAGGGCCTTCCTCCAACACTAAGCTGGTTTAGGTGTGAGGCATGCTTCACTTAGAGCCTTCCTCAAACACAAAGCTGGTTTAGGTGTGAGGCATGCTTCACTTAGAGCCTTCCTCCAACACAAAGCTGGTTTAGGTGTGAGGCATGCTTCACTTAGAGCTTTCCTCCAACACTAAGCTGGTTTAGATATGAGGTATGCTTCACTTCCGGTTATTCGCTAACATGAAGCTTACACACCGTATGAAATCAACTCAATCTAGTGAAACAATAACACAGAAGAGGGACACGCCATTACCGATGTTGTTGCACCGCAGGATGCGTCATTAACTGCTAAAACAGCGCTCTCGTAAGTTCCTGATCCAGCTGATGTTTCTGTAAAGTCGCATGTCCCTTCCTTCCCCTTGAGATAAACCTTCCCAGAGAACGTTGATACATGCGGCATTACCGTCATCTTCATTGTGTTTGGATTCGCAGCGGTGTCACACGTCAGGGTGTCTGTGGTGAAGAGGAAAATCAGCCAACGACATGAATATACAAGGTTAGGTTCCCTTAATTTGTCTGTAGTTCAATACATGTACTTACATACTTAGGTAACTGACATAACTTACAGACACACTTCTGGAAGTGGGGTTCTGACATAGCTTACAGACACACTTCTGGAAGTGGGGTACTGACATAACTTACAGACACACTTCTGGAAGTGGGGTAATGACATAACTTACAGACACACCTCTGGAAGTGGGGTACTTACATAACATACAGACACACTTCTGGAAGTGGGGTACTGACATAGCTTACAGACACAGTTCTGGAAGTGGGCTACTTACATAACTTACAGACACACCTCTGGAAGTGGGCTACTGACATAGCTTACAGACACACTTCTGGTAGTGGGGTACTTACATAACTTACAGACACACTTCTGGAAGTGGGGTACTTACATAACTTACAGACACACTTCTGGAAGTGGGGCACAGACATAACTGACACACACTTCTGGAAGTGGGGTACTGACATATGTTACAGACACAGTTCTGGAAGTGGGCTACTTACATAACTTACATACACACCTCTGGAAGTGGGGTACTGACATAGCTTACAGACACACCTCTGGAAGTGGGGTACTGACATAGCTTACAGACACACTTCTGGTAGTGGGGTACTTACATAACTTACAGACACACTTCTGGAAGTGGGGTACTTACATAACTTACAGACACACTTCTGGAAGTGGGGCACAGACATAACTGACACACACTTCTGGAAGTGGGGTACTGACATATGTTACAGACACAGTTCTGGAAGTGGGCTACTTACATAACTTACAGACACACCTCTGGAAGTGGGGTACTGACATAGCTTACAGACACACTTCTGGTAGTGGGGTACTGACATAACTTACAGACACAGTTCTGGAAGTGGGCTACTTACATAACTTACAGACACACTTCTGGAAGTGGGGCACAGACATAACTGACACACACTTCTGGAAGTGGGGTACTGACATAACTTAGAGACACACTTCTGGAAGTGGGGTAATGACATAGCTTACAGACACAGTTCTGGAAGTGGGCTAACTTACATAACTTACAGACACACTTCTGGAAGTGGGGTAATGACATAACTTACAGACACACTTCTGGAAGTGGGGTACTGACATAGCTTACAGACACACTTCTGGAAGTGGGGTAATGACATAACTTACATACACACTTGTGGAAGTGGGGTACTGACATAGCTTACAGACACATGTTTGGAAGTGGGGTACTGACATAGCTTACAGACACACTTCTGGAAGTGGGGTACTGACATAGCTTACAGACACACTTCTGGAAGTGGGGTACAGACATAACTTACAGACACAGTCCCTGGAAGTGGGCTACTTACATAACTTACAGTCACAGTTCTGGGAGTGGGGCACTGACATAACTGACACACAGTTTTGTACTTACACCGCATGTCGGTACAGGTTGCCCCTGCGTATTCGGGGGTACAGAGGCACAAGGCAGCACTTGCAGTTGCGGATTTGTGACAGATTCCTCCATTCTGGCAAGGGTTGGTTGGCGTGCAGTCAGCGTGACTTTCATCAGCTGGAAACGAAACTTCACTACCTCAGTACACATTTTTCAAAAGTATATTACTGAAAGGAAACATCATTACCTGAAGATATATATTCATGCCTCAAATTTATCATCCTTTGATATATAATAATGCTTTATAGCTCTCTACCTGAAGACATACACATGTGCTTCAAACACCTCTACCTGAAGATATACACACTTGCTTCAAACACATGTACCTGAAGATACACACACGTGCTTCAAACACATGTACCTGAAGATATACACAAGTGCTTCAAACACCTCTACCTGAAGATATACACATTCTTCAAACACCTCTACCTGAAGATATACACATTCTTCAAACACCTCTACCTGTAGACATACACACGTGCTTCAAACTCCTCTGCCTGAAGATATACACACGTGCTTCAAACACCTTTACCTGAAGACATACACACGTGCTTCAAACACCTCTACCTGAAGATATACACACGTGCTTCAAACACCTCTACCTGAAGATATACAGCCGTGCTTCAAACACCTCTACCTGAAGATATACACACGTGCTTCAAACACCTGTACCTGACGATATACACACGTGCTTCAAACACCTTTATTTGAAGAGATACACACATTCTTCAAACACCTCTACCTGAGGACATACACACGTGCTTCAAACACCTCTACCTGAAGACATACAGACGTGCTTCAAACACCTCTACCTGAAGATATACACAGGTGCTTCAAACACCTGTACCTGAAGATATACACACGTGCTTCAAACACCTCTACCTGAAGATATACACACGTGCTTCAAACACCCCTGACTAAAGACATTTACACTCGCTTTAAACAACTCCACCCGAAAAATATTAACACACGATTTGCAAACAGTTTGCTTAAAATTGTAAAATATTTGGTTGTGATACAACGTACCAATTACAACAGAACAGTCGTAGCCTGTATGGAGTGCGTCGCACGAGCAGGTTCCAGCAGCCATATCGCACGTGCCTCCATTCATACACGCCCCGGTCTCTCGCGCACAGTCGAAGAGTGCGGAAACTGGAAGATACAGGATGTGTATTAAAGATAAACAATCGTAACAAAGCTTGCAATCATAAGAAAACATTTACGGTTTCATTATATATCATTATTCATAATTTCAAAATTTACATATATCCCGAACTATTTTAGTCCAGTATGTTTGCTTCACAGTAACCCTGGCAGATTTCAGTATGTTGAAGCGAGATTTTTCTAACCCTGTCACCCATTAACACAGGTTTACAATAAATGTAACCCACCTGAGCCAAGGCAGCAGGAGATGATCAAGCACAATACTACCCTCATTATGGAGTGTGGGTACACGGGGAGAGATGGCTGTAAGATATATACAAAAGTTAAGGTATGGACCATACACAACAAAACATACAATTATCTGGTTTAGTTGTTATATTTATTATAGTTGTTTTATGTTATTCATGTTGTATTCTCAGTTTCATTGAGGGTATATAACAAAGCTCCCCTCACCATTTCAACAAAAAACACCATATAATAGTCTGATTTACGCGACGTTAATTTTCAGGTTCGGGTAGTTCAGGGTATATCGGAAATATCGGAACAATCCAGGTGTCCACACGCATAGGTAGTGTAGCACTGTGGCACTTATTAACTATCACACTTATGTTTGAGGAACGTGGTCAAACCAGCACCAAGCTATTGAACAACATTGGCATGTGAATCACGGAGCATCTAGGTCACGTCTAATTAATGAGCAGTATTGCCATGCGTCTCATTGAACAACATTGTCATGCGTCTCATTGAACAACATTGTCATGCGTCTCATTGAACAACATTGTCATGTGTCAACAACATTGTCATTCGTCTCATTGAACAACATTGTCATGCGCATCATTGAACCATATTGTCATGCGTCTCATTGAACAATATTGTCATGCGTCACGTTGAACAACATTGTCATGCGTCTCATTAAACAACATTGTCATGCGTCTCATTAAACAACATTGTCATGCGCATCATTAAACAACATTGTCATGCGTCTCATTGAACAACATTGTCATGCGCATCATTGAACAATATTGTCATGCGTCTCATTGAACAATATTGTCATGCGTCACGTTGAACAACATTGTCATGCGTCTCATTAAACAACATTGTCATGCACATCATTGAACAACATTGTCATGCGCATCATTGAACAGCATTGTCATGCGTCTCATTGAACACCATTGTCATGCGTCTCATTGAACACCATTGTCATGCGTCTCATTGAACACCATTGTCATGTGTCTCATTGAACACCATTGTCATGCGTCTCATTGAACACCATTGTCATGCGTCTCATTGAACACCATTGTCATGCGTCTCATTGAACAACCATTGTCATGTGTCTCATCATGTGTCTCATTGAACACCATTGTCATGCACCATCGTCTCATTGAACAACATTGTCATGTGTCTCATTGAACAAATTTGTCATGCATTGAACAACATTGTCATGCGTCTCATTGAACAACATTGTCATGCGTCTCATTGAACACCATTGTCATGCACATCATTGAACAACATTGCCATGCGTCTCATTGAACAACATTGCCATGTGTCTCATTGAACAACATTGTCATGCGTCTCATTGAACAACATTGTCATGCGTCTCATTGAACAAAAGTGATATGCGTCTCATTGAACAACATTGTCATGCGCATCATTGAACAGCAGTAATATCTGTATTATTAAGGAACGCTGGCATATTCAACACTGTGGACAAAACTGTAATAGCATAGTGTCAGTGTTATAAGTATATTAAAACAACACTGAGCAACATTGTCATATGTTTCACCCAGCTGCATTGTCACAGATATCTCTGAACTGCATTGTCATAGATATCAATGAGCTGCATTGTCACAGATATCAATGAGCTGCATTGTCATAGATATCTCTGAACTGCATTGTCATAGATATCTCTGAGATGCATTGTCATAGATATCATAGATATCACTGAGCTGCATTGTCATAGATATCACTGAACTGCATTGTGAGAATCATGCCAGGTTGTATTAATCTTTGAGACAAACATGCCGTCTACCTAGACTATGCGTCCCTCTCTGGAGCACTGTGCAGACCAGTACACTGTTTTAGCTCTTTCACTGAGTTTGTAAAGAGACCAGTACAGCCTGCGATGTATACATTAAATATATGTAATGTGACCCAATCCCATGATGTAATACAAAATGTCACGTCCAGATCAAGTTGATTTAGATATCGATAACATGTAAAGAATGTCTATAAACAAAGCACAGTGCGTGCAGACACCGCATGACTCACCGAGAAGCTGTGGGGACACCTGGTGTTCTCGGATAACACCCACAACTCACTCAGTTGTCACTCTAAAGTGTCTGTGTTTGTTTGACTGTTACCACACTCCTGTCATATGGCACAGTCCTGTAAACGAGTCTGAACCACACAATCATGTGACGATGCTATGAGCAATGGTCCACGCGTCGAGATACGACGCAACACTATTGATTACCTTAGCTTGACCATTGGTATAAGTAAGTGTCTGCATGGAGGTGTGACAAACGGTATTTGATCAAATGCAGGACAGAATGTAATGAGGCCGATTGTAGATGTCACTTAATACGAACCCTGTTCGCAAACCAGGGATCGCAATGAGGGCGCGATGTACCTACTCATATCATACTCCCTCAAATATGTCGTAAATGGAAAACATTTAAAATCTGCTTGATTACGTTTGAGTGAAGGATTCAGTGACCCTTGAAACAACCAATCGATAATCAGTGTTTACAGTAACTATGCGCAGTGCACTGCACATGAAGACATAGGCCTCTATACTGGTCTCGCGTCGTCAGTGCGCACAGGCCCCATCACAAGTGGAAGGACCGGTTTGTCCCCTCCCACACACAACCTGTCGGCGAACAACCGGTTCCAGAGTGGGCTACCATGACAACATATCAAACAATTCGCACTCTTCTCTATTTATGTTCTAATCATTTGTCAGCTAGGACCTCTGAGGTTCTTGTAGCCTGACATCACAATTACATCTATGCAACTGACTTAAAATTTAAATTGTTTGTGAATCGTTACATGAAATCCCCTGGATAAAACCAATAGAAAGATATCCCAACCTACCCCGAGATGCATGTTCACAAAATCCTGTTAGAAGTCATCTTACAGTCACCATATCTACATGCTATATACGCAGGCTGCAAGAACGGCGCCTGTTAGAAGTCATCTTACAGTCACCATGTCTACATGCTATATACGCAGGCTGCAAGAACGGCGCGTGATAGAAGTCATCTTACAGTCACCATGTCTACATGCTATATACGCAGGCTGCAAGAACGGCGCGTGATAGAAGTCATCTTACAGTCACCATGTCTACATGCTATATACGCAGGCTCCTTTCCATCCGTACCAACCAGCATAAGCTGCTAATGCCTCAGTATGACGTAACGTTCAAGAAACATACAACCCGCTGCTTCTACTGGTTGAATACCATAGAACATTTGTAAACCATTATACCGAAACTTTCCTGTGCCATGTCTGTGTTACAGTGGTGCAATCGCTATGTTCAGTTCTACCTGAATCGTCAGTTATCATACTATTACTGGTTCTGGGGTACTCGGTATAGAAACATTATCTTAAATATGACAGCAATAACATAGGAACTTCGCTTTCTATTTTTCTTTCAGTGTCAAATTTCAATGCAGGTGCAAGAACCATCATACTGCTCAATTTCAAACACTTAGATTCAACAAGCAACTCACACAAAGACATTATGAATGTCCATGTCTAACAGTATTTACGACATGCCCATAATTAGCGGTTTTGAATTTCGTCATACAAACATCAAATGGGTGATAAATATGAATATAAGTTATATTCTGTCATTTAAAACATTACTTTAAACCGATACAGATTATGTGGAAACAGAAAACTCTTCAACTTGGAAAAGCCTCCTTACCTGAGAGCTGGTTCCTCTTACACCTGTCCGACGTGCCTGGAGCTACTTCAGGTGATGACTATCGATCTCCTCGTTTTGGATGCAGCGCTGGAAGTGACGCTGGGTGCTCAACAAGCTGTTATATATCTATCCCCTTAGTTTCTAAAACAAACATATTTGCGTTTGTCATAACAAACCTGTAACTGTCAAGGACATTTACATATTAATGAACTTTTGTATTCGATGGAGCCAATGAAAATCAGATTATAGCAGGATCGAACAGGATCGATTGTGAGATTAATTTCATTGGGTATATCGATTTACAATACCCTAGAACCAATCACTTTTTGAAGGACGTTATTCGTCACGATGGACATTTCCAGCATTCTACAGAATCGGTACTCGTAGACTTTGAGAAATGAATATAAACATCAACTACATATTAATCTATTTCTGATATCAGAAAGTAAATAAACCAGCAAAGACTGTTTGGGTAACCCTTTGCACAGTATGGCTGGTCAGGTTCATGTCCTGACTACACGCAGCCCAGAGAACTCAGCCTAATCCAACCAACCAGGAACAGTTATGGAATGTTTGTGTGTTTGTTTGTTGTTTAACACCACACTAAACAATATATTCTAGCTAAATGGGGAAGGCGGGGGTGGGGGTGTAATAGATCAAGTCTAGACCAGACAATCCTGTGATCAACAGAAGTGTCAAAGGGACAGAAAATCAAAGACATTCATGATTTCACTGGGTTTATCAAAACGGCCAAGGCCGGGAATGTTGGATTGGATACGTCTGAGAGTGTATATGAGCTTATTTAAAAGAATTCTATAATTATCTATGACACCTCTTGATATTCCAAGACGGTAAAAAGCGGATCACTTCTGATACAGTGTTGGGGATAATTTCAATGTGTTTGGCAGCCACTTAAAATTAATTACATTATAACTGATATATGTTAGAGTGAGTGAGTGAGTGAGTGAGTGAGTGAGTGAGTGAGTGAGTGAGTGAGTGAGTGAGTGAGTGAGTGAGTGAGTGAGTGAGTGAGTGAGTGAGTGAGTGAGTGAGTGAGTGAGTGAGTGAGTGAGTGAGTGAGTGAGTGAGTGAGTGAGTGAGTGAGTGAGTGAGGAGTGAGTGAGTGAGTGAGTGAGTGAGTGAGTGAGGTGAGTGAGGTGAGTGAGTGAGTGAGTGAGAGTGAGTGAGGAGTGAGTGAGTGAGTGAGTGAGTGAGTGAGTGAGTGAGTGAGTGAGTGAGTGAGTGAGTGAGTGAGTGAGTGAGTGAGTGAGTGAGTGAGTGAGTGATGCATTCAGCAATATTCCAGCTATATGGCGGCGGTCTGTATATAATCGAGTCTGGACCAGACAATCCAACAGCATGAACATCGATCTGCGCAACTGGGAAACGATGACATATGTCAACCCAGTCAGCGCGTCTGACCACCCGGATCTCTAACCCGGATCTTCACGGGTAGTAGTAGTAGTGGTAGTAATAGTAGTAGTAGTAGTAGTAGTAGTAGTAGTAGTAATAGTAATAGTAGTAGTAATAGTACATGTAGTAGTAATAGTAATTGTAGTAGAAGAAGTCGTAATTGCAGCAGTAGTAGCAGCAGCAGGAGTAGTAGTAGTGGTAGTAGCTCATGGTGACAAAGTTGTACCTCCATGCTAATTTTACCGCGTTTTGCAATACAGAAAGAGCCGGAAACATACGGGTCAAGGAACCGCTCTGTGTAATGCAATGGACTCGCCCCAGGGTGTACATTCTGGGCTGCAAGTCTGTATACACGTGAAGTACTCAACAACGACCCATTTAGACCCGTTATAATATGCCGAATACAGGTATCATAAAATTTGACTTAATATTTATTGTATCACAACTTTCAAAGATTGGTTGACCCTTCACATACGTCCTCTATACACATTCACCTTAACACACACTCTTCTTAACTTTCTACATTCATATTTCCTAAAATGGAAGAATGCTTCAGTGACACAGCGATTGCGATTCTTTTACCATGTGTACATTGAATCCAATATTGGAGTCACATAAGAAAACAACGGATATATACTCTCCCAAAAAAAGAAACGCATATAGGAATTTCAACTGTATTTTTATGTTTATTTTGAAACATCTTGTAGGCTTTACGAGTTAATGAAATATAGCGAAATTGCACACTGGGAATGCAGACTTATCCGTCTTTGGCACCAACTCGAGGAAAGTCAGTTTGAGTGTCACATGGAGACGTGTGGTGGCGCTGACCACCGTGGGCATCCAGAACTGCACGGCATCGCCTCGGCATCGAACGAATAAGTCTCAGAATCTCGTGTTGCCCAATCGCAGCCCACTCTGCCTGTAGTGCCTGTGCGAGTTGCTGAAGTGTCTGGGGCTGAGGGTTACGTTGTCGCACCCGTCTGTCCAGGGCATCCCACAGATGTTCGATCGGGTTTAAGACCGAGGGCCAGGGGAGCACATTGATGTTGTGGTTCTGGAGGAAGTCTCTAGTGTGACGTGCTGTGAGGGGCCTGGCATTGTCCTGTTGAAACAGCTCCCTCTGGCGATCAATGATTGGATGGAGGTGTGGGCGTAGGATTTCGTCACAGTACCGTTGAGCTGTCAGGTTGCCCTGGATCATCATGAAATCACTTCTCCTACGGCAGGTGATCCCTCCCCACATCATAACACTTCCCCGGCCGAATCTGTCCACATGGGGAACGCAAGCGTCGGTGAAACGTTCACGTCGACGTCTGTACACCCGCATTCTTCCATCGCGTCGTTCCAATAGAAATCGTGATTCATCACTGAACCAGATTCTACGCCAATTCGGTAGGTTCCAGGCCTGAACGTTGGTGCACCATTGAACTCGATGTCGACGATGTTGTTGTCGAAGCACAGGGCCAAAATAAGGTCTTCTGGCACGTAAACCAGCCTCTCTCAACCTGTTCCTGACGGTCTGTGCAGAAAGCCTCCTCAATCCGGGTATTTGTCGAGCGGTACTGGTCGCCGTAGCTGTTCGATGACGCAGGTGATGTACCCGGATGTAGCGATCCTGCGCCGCAGTGGTCGCTCGAGGTCGCCCACTACGAGGGGCATCTGCTACCGCATTCTGCCGGCGATATCTCTCCCAGAGCCGTGAAATGGTGCTTGAGTGAACATTCATGCGTCGGGCAGCTGCACGTTGAGACTGATCAGCTTCAAGCAAACCAATGGCGATATGACGGTTGGCTTCACTTAGACGTGGCATTTGCGTTCGTCAACAATATTCCAAATACAGTGAATAATCGGCAGAGAGCAATCAACCTTTTATACCCATCACTGAGACTATCTGATCCCCAACCTTTACGTGCATTGCATGTGAATTGTGTATTCTGTGACACTGCACGCCGAAATTGAAAATCATGCTGTTTAATACGGGTATTTTACGGATGGTGCGTTTTGTTGTGATGTTTCAAAACATAAACACCATAGGACTCATAAACAGAGCAAAACCTTTTGTAAAATGAATCACGTTTTAATTCATTGCTACATGAAATTGCTATTTTCATGATACGTTTCTTGTTTGGGAGAGTATATTTCAGTTATAGGTATGACAATCTTTTAGTCATAGATTAATGCAAATAGTTCTGTCATATATTGATGCCTATGTCTTGGTCTTATAGTAATGCCAATATTCCAGTAATATACTGACATCAGCATATTGACGGCGTAATCATCAGCGTCAACATTTCAATTCTATAACAATGACAATGTTTCAGTCATTTCGATAGTAACAGTTCAGCCATATACTGATCTCAATTCTTTACAGCAAACTATCAGTCATTCAGGAGGATAGTATTTATGACATACTGACGTCAACAATGCACGTCGCTAATACCGGTATACTCTGCATTATAAAAAGAAAAATGGAAACAAGTCACTCTTGCTGATGTTCATAACAACGAATTCCAGATTAGAATTGCTCATGCCTGCATGAATGGTTGACGCGGGTTAAATAAATACGGCCAAAATACACCGAAACAAAATCGAGGGAAACGCCAAAACGCAACCACGCAAACTGACTAGCATGAAATGAACGCGCAAAATGAACTGTTAGGCTATAACACGAGGGGCCTTCATATGTCTGCCATCGCAAATGTACATCAAAAGAACAGTGAAAATATGCCACGACTGACAAAAGCTCAACGCAACATCGCCATTTCAGGATGTCAGCCGATACAGTGAGGAACCAGGTATTCGCCACAGACGACAAGATCGAGGCGTCATTCGACTGATCAGCATCGTCGGCTGCAACGTCAATGTTGTCAAGGACAACGACATTAATGGAGAAGTGGTTAGTTCTCTCCGTACTGATGACGTCGTGTTTACAAACCTCGTAGGGAACGTTTTGCGGGAAGCTCCATACCGGAAGTGGACAGGTCTGGTGGCAGGTGTATATTGGTGTAGGCCTGATACACGTCCGTGACAATTTAACGGCACAACGTTACTCGGTCACACGTCCTTCCCTTTGTGCAACAAGCAAACGTCATTTGTCAACACGACAACGTCCGACCTCAAACGGCAACCCTGACAAGCCTTTTTAGGGATACAGGGTCAAGCACGGCCAATGCCCCCAAGACCCTCAGATCTAAACTCTATATATGGGATGCTCTTTAAAAACGTCTGCAATCACTTCAGCCACAGCCACAGAGCCTCCAATGGTTGGTACAAGTACTGCAGCAAACCCATACAGGTGACCTTCGCCTTGACATTCGATGGTGTCGTGTGGGTAATGCTGACCTCTGTCTGTGACAATGACGTGTGCCACATTTGAATAATGTATATATTATGATCTGTGGATCATTTTTACAGTACATGAAGATTAATGCATCTGAAACCAACTTTAGCGTTTACGAGCATGTTTCATCAATAGTGTAACGTATAAAATTCTAAAAATATTGATAACATTATGTCAACCCTCAGACTGATCGTCTTCATACAGCACTATTGATCTCCATATTGAGTAATGACATTGAACACTGTGTGGTTTATGCCTGTTTATGGTATACGACCCACGAGTCCGGGAAATGGGCATGTTGGGACAACACCTGCTGTAATGCTGTTTACAAGCGTGAACCTTTGTTATGTAAATAT